GTGGCCAGGATCAAAGGTCAGAGGGGTTCAGACTGGGGTCAGGGTCAGGTCACAGGGGTTCGGACTGTGGCCAGGGTCAAAGGTCGGGCGTTCGTGGAGGATGAGGTAACAGCAGATCAGATCCAAAGAAGCAGGACGGAACAAGTGAGGTGGTTAAAGAGCTCCGTGGCGGCAGGGCTCCAGGGGTGGACGTTCACCCTGATTTCCTCAAAGCTCTGGATGTTGTGGAGGAACAGGAGGAACAATACGGGTTCCGTTCTGGCTGTGGAACACTGGACCAGCTCTTTACCCTCACTAGGCTCCTCGAGGGGTCATGGAAGTTTGCCCATCCAGTCTACATGTGTTTTGTGGACTTAGGGAAGGCTTTCGACCGTGTTCCTCGAGGTACACTGTGGGGGTGCTCCGTGAGTCTGGGATTGGGGGCTCATTACTAAGGGCTGTTCAGTCCCTGTACACGATGCGGTGAGAGTTTGGTTCTCATTGCCGGCAGTCAGTCGGACCCTTCAGGGTGGGAGTTGGACTCCTCCAGGGCTGCCTGTTCTCATCGATTCTGTTCATAACTTTTATAGACAGACAACAAAAATAGTTACATCATGTCTTCTGGACCCGTTTCTTTAAGCGATGAAACTTTTCGTCCCCCATCCAGAGGACTTCGTCAGTCTGTGGCCTGCCCACCAGATGTGTCCCATAAGTAGCCTTCATTCAGCCTTCATGTTCACTTAAAGAAACTGGCCCAGCCGACAGGATTTAACCATTGTTGATCTTATCTACCTGGATGATCGAGCCTACAAACCTTTTTTTTTAGACAGAACTTCTCGGTGCAGCCAGGGGGTGGAGGGGGGCCGGTTCAGTGGTCTCAGGATTCATCTCTGCTCTTTGCAGATCATGTGGTCCTGTTGGCGTCATCGTTCCGTGATCTCCAGCTCTCACTGGATCAGTTCAAAGCTGGGAGGAGGATCAGAACCTCCAGATCTGAGGCCATGGTCCTCAGTCAGGGGGTGGACTGTCCTCTCCAGGTTGGGGGGTGAGGTTCTGCCTCAAGTGGAGGAATTTGAGTATCTCGAGGTTTTGTTCACGAGTGGGAGAAGAATGGAGACAGAAGGATTGGTGCAGCATCTGCAGTATTGTGGACTCTGTGCCGGTCCGTTGTGGTGAAGAGGGAGCTGAGCTGTAAGGAGAAACTGTCTGCGTACTGTTTTGAAGCTAAAGGAACAGTAGCTAAAAGTTTATTGAAGATAAATGTTAGTTAAAAGAATGAAAGGACTAGCTTGAGGCTAAAAGAGGAAAATCCTTGCTAACAAGAATAGTAGCTAAAAGCTAAAGGTACCAGGTAGATCCAGTGGCTAAAACAAATTTTTAAGAGAACAAAGTGTCTTAAAGAACTGAAGAAATTTGAATTTTTATGGGGAAATATTTGTAAAAAAAGTTAAAAACTCCTAAACACGTAAAAGTTACTAAAACCAAAAGTCACAGCAGCCATCTCCTGAATGAGCCGAACGTTTTCATGTGCAAACGGCTAAAATAACACGTCTGCCGACGTGGTTGGACTCAAAGACCTGAATTAAAATTAAAAACTAGAACAGCAGATTGAACGCTGGGTCAAGGTTTTGTAAACTTTTATTTACTTTTGTTGACACAATCATATTTCATGGATTGTTGACACTTTAACTGGAAGAGATTGCAGTTTCTCAGGGTTCTGTCTTTGTTCCGGTGACTCTTCTGGTAAAAAGTCTGCGGCTCATGAAAGTCTCTCTGCAGAGGTGGGACTCGAGCCTGAAGCTGATGGCCGAGGCGTACGCAGCTAAATGCATCTGGAACCACAACCCGGAGCTGGAGGAGACGGGGGAGAATCTGTACGCTGGCACGGGGCCCCTGGACTTCGCTCAGGCTGTGGAGAAATGGTTCATGGGTGAGTCACGGTGCACGCCCCGACTTCACCACTGCTCTCATCAACACAAAAACACTTTTCTTTCTGTGCAGGGACTCAGTCTTCAGTTTGTTGGCACAAAACAAATACTTCCTTCGTTTTAGGCAAATCTGAGTTTTAAAGTAACGTTTCAAACGTATCAGGACAGAAGTGAACTGACTGTGAATCCTGCATACTTCTGTCTTTAGTATACTGATGTTGTGTACACATTCACTAAAGTATTCACATTTTCTGATCAACAACTATAAGTACATTTATAAACACTGGAATAAGGTATAAAATTATACAACTACATTTATAAAAATGTATTTCTTATACATCAGTGGTAACATTGTACATTGTGCATTTTGAAAGTATCTAAAAAAGTATAATTCAGTGCTCTACTGAAGTAGTAGTACATAGATTACATGTGTGTTAATAGTATTTCAGTTTACTTACAGTAATTCAACTTCAGCTTAAGAACATTAAAATTATATATTTCAAATTTCTGCAACTTATGTGCAACAAATGAGCACAGAGTACAAAAATACACTTTAGTTTTACCTTAAACACTCTGGAAGTCAAGTATTTAAAGTATTTTGGCTGAGTACACTCGAGTATACCTAAAGTAAGTTTATATGTTGTATTTGGTTTTCATGGGTGGAGCTGATGAGGATTTGTTTTCCTGCAGAACATCTGGACTACGACTTCCAGAACAACACGTGTGATGAAGTCAAGATGTGTGGGCATTACACGCAGGTCAGGCACACACAGCGTGCACGTTTTACATGTTTTACACAGGATTTACACATTTTACACATGCACATATTTTATACGTTTTGCATGTGCTTTACTCATTTTACGTTTTACACGTTTTACTTGTGTTACACGTTTTACACATGTATGAGTGGATCAGGTGTGTGTGTGTTTTATACTTTTACATATTTTATACATTACTCATGTTTTACTTGTTTTACACCTGTTTTACTTATATGTTACATGTGTTTTACTAATGGTTTAAGCATGTTTAACTTGTTTTACACCGTTTTACTTATATGTTACGTGTTTTACTCATGTTTTACAGATGTTTTACACAAAGCTGACTTGCTTTACACATTGTACACATTTTACATGTGTGTTACTCATGTTTTATTTATATGTTACATGTGTTTTACTAATGTTTTAAGCATGTTTTACACAGTTTTTTCACATTTTTACTTTTTATTTGTTGTAAATGTTTTACACATCTACATATTTTATGCATTTTATGCACACTCATTTTCACAAATTTTGCACATATTTGACATGCTTTGCACATGTATGAGTGAATCAGGTGTATGTGTGTGTTTTACAGATGGTCTGGGCGGACACACACAGGGTTGGCTGTGCTTTCCATCTCTGTGACAAAATGGACGGACTTGACTGGGAGGACAGGACCTCCTTCCTCGTCTGTAACTACTTTCCAGCGTCAGTTAAAACAGATATTACTCTCAAATACAGTCAGTGAAAACAAAATACATTTTAATAATATAGTTACTACTAACTGTTTACCAGTGTCAACATACTAGCACATAAAGCAGAGGGGAGTTGTTAGCACCCCATGCTAAAGTCCAGCAGAGGGAGGAGTGTGTTTCTGATGAGTCATGTGTGTTTCTGATGAGTCATGTGTGTT